GATACTTCAAGAAAGTAATCAGCATATTTTGCCATATATAACTTAGTCTTCTCCAAGCAAACCATTGGCCAGCCATCATGAAGATCAGTTTCATGGACAGCAATAGAAAGATAATAGTCGATGAAATGAGCAGCAGTTGGGAGGCACAAATTCCACTGAAATGTTTCTAGCAACAGTAACTCCATATGAAGCAAATTCTGTTTTGTTAGTACCAAATTCATATTAGTCATACATCCCAAGCTGTTCAGTTGTTCAAGTTTGGGAACACTGTCTTCCTTTTCTTCAAATTTACCTTCAGATGAACAGAAAGAGGGGGAAAAAGGGTTCAGCATGCGTGAACTACAAAACACACTGCATCTACTGACTGTTGTTGGTCATATTTCAATTCTAGTACATCAAATAAGCTTTAGACTTTTCCACAAATGCAAAGCTCAAATGGAAGACTTACTTGGAGACATAAAGTAGCATGTACTATAAAGGACTGAATTTCAGCAGATAATGTCATCGTGCTGGATATCATACAGTGCCATATTTCCTGTTGATCCATCTGCCCATGAACCAGTTACTGTTTGCCAAGTGCAGAAGTAAGCTATGTTATGACATCCGTGGCACTACTTATATTAAGTTTTTGTCACCAAACTACTGTATTATGAAATGACATAGTGAAATACCACTGCCATGGGACCTAATCACTCTCTCTTCCCCACAAACCCTGTTTGGTTTTAGAAATCATTAGAGTACAGCTACCTCTCTAGTCAATTTATCTGCCCTGTTATTACCTGTTACGCTAGGTGCATTTTTAGATTTGATAGCAGATATGCTGCTCCAGCATTTCAAAGAAGTAGATTTCAGCAATGTACATCTGAAAAACCACATTGCCATGTAAACTTAACACTGCTGGTAGCTTCAACCTTCCCTGGACTTTAACTTGTCAGGCCTGTATGCTTTTAGCCTGAAGCAGAATTGTATATGTAGAAAATCCATTAATAAGGGAAACAAGTGTCACATTTCCATACAGTTTGCCATATGGTTGTGCTATTTAAATTTCATTGCAAATTCTTTCCATCTTACACCCACTATTCAGTACTACAGATATGTTGTAAAAGCACATTTTTAGAGACTTTTGCAGGACTGAACATACCAATCGTTTGCTTTCACCCCACTAACAGTGAGAGGTATTTACACAGGAGTTAAGGCCATGCCAGCCCCAGCCTGTTCGTTTTTGTTTTCCACACTTAACTAATTACAGAAATGGAAGCTTTTCAGGACTCACATAATCATTTCTCTTATTACTTCTACAACTTTATCAGGCATAGTGTGATTTGTCTAGCTTACCATACTGTTTGAACAACTCGTTTGAGCCACACAGGACAGTTCAAAGCAGCATTTTGGTTTGTGCTTTCCATACTAAGTCACATAGTGCTTCTCAGAAGAATGTGTACTTCAGGCTCTCATAAGCACTATTTGCAGTTTGTTACAAAGGATAGTAAAAGTGATTAAGAAAAAAAAAAAACCAATAATCCTCTTCAGAACATGAATTTAATTTGAAGATCTGGCATTAGTTCAGAGACTATCCACTTTCTTAAATGGATTATACTGGTTTCTGAGGCCAGGTTTTTAATACTCAGAGCCCCATCCTCTGCCAAAGTGGCTGGTGGTATCCAGTCAAAATTTACCCCCAGAAGAATTCCAAAACAACTCCTTTTATCTTTCAACTGTTCTGTTGAATAGCTGTACTGCTGAAGACAGAGTGCACTGAAAGGAAGCAGTATACCAAAACCAGAAAACCAGAGCACAGAGGTGTTAACTAGCAGACAGGGCCTACAATGTGACATATCTTGTTTGAGAAAATGAAAATAGATTCAGAGAAATGGGTTAGCAGAAACTGAACCAGCAGTCAGCTCTGCTACCAGCACAAAGCTTGGGTGCTTGGTTTAAGAACAATTGCCAGCAAGCATGCTGCAAACTACATTCATATATTATTGGGGACTTGTAAAACGGCTCCAGAAGTGCATAAAGATGGATACACACCACAGGATTCTAGCTGAGCGCTATATAAGCAGCAGCACAGTTATTAATGAATGTTTGTAATTAATTCTATCTTCAGAGTACTGTGTAATCGCCAGTGTATTCACCTACATTACATTTTTTATGTGACACAGTACAGGATTTACTTTAGCCTAGGCTTGCACAAAGAACAGCACAATTTACAAAATCTGAAGTATGCCAGACACATGCAGCACCATCAACAGGCTGCAAAACAGTCTACATATGGTTTATTTCATTTCTTCCTTTATCACAAGTATCTTAATTGTTTTCAGCACTGGATCCACCTATTTTGACATATTCTTCAGAAGGCAGCCTTTCCATTCCTGTAGCTTCCCTCTGAAAAATTCATCTTAGAATAATTCGTATTTCCAAACACAAACACTGGTTTTTAATTGCAATTCACTTTTTCCCCTTTGTATTATCAGGTGCCAACAGAGGTCCAAACAGAAATCTAAAGAAAGGCTTATCATCTGGGCCAAATTTAAGTACGCAAATCTAACCCTCAGTCTTTTATAACCACTTTGTTTCCTCTGCCCCCTGTATCCCTAGCAGGTTACTCCCTGCACTTGGCAGAACCACCTGTATTACTCTCGTTCAACTATGGTGCTACATACTTACTTGCTAAAAGTAAACAGGAAAGAGCAACCACATGCAGCTGCTGTATGGATATGTCATAGCGATCCATAAAGAGGTCCAGCAGATACACAGCTAGATGTCGTGCAGCAGGACAGAGTCTGAACCGATTGCTCACAATGGCAATCAGATCTGCAAAGTATCTTCTCAGATGTAACTGGGGAGATTGGCCTTTGTAGGAGGGCAGCTTCAGCTCCTAGATGGACAGCAGCATGCAATTTTATTAAAACCACCATTTAGTGTACACTGGCATCAAACCAACATAGCTGGTATTCTCACATTTATTATGGAACTTGCAAACTATTTCTTTCCTTTTCTTTTTGTTCCCCTAGCTTCAGTATCTCTTTTCACAGAGCAAAGATTATTTGTGGTATTACAGAATTAAATATTTTGGTTCTGCATAACATTAGTATAACAGTGTAAGGCTTAATATATTTTCACCAATCAGCTAGAGTGACTGCTGATTTTACCTTCTCTACTGCAAAGGCTTCTCCAGCAGGGAAGCACCAGCAATATGCAAGGACTGCTCAGATGCTTCAACACGAAGTCCAATAGCTTAACTCAGCCCTCTCCTGTTGCAGTTTGATCTGAGCAACCAGACTTTGTACCAAAGCTGGTTGTCCTACAGGTGCCTTTGTGAGGGGGGCAATGACAGCTATATCTGAAGCTGGGAACTGGGAAAGAAGCAGGGGGATACCATCTCTTCCTGCATGCACTTCCGACCCTGACTTAATCTGATCTCACTGATGTTGCCCTGACACTGATTACAGCACGCTCTCAGACACTGAGTTAAAGGCACATAAACCTCACACAGCCTGAGATTTGGAGAGGGGGACAACACCAAAGCCCTACCAACACTACAGAGAAGAAAAGCCTTTGGCACTGTATTTGAAATACAAAGTTTGGGCTGGCAGAAGTAGAATCCGAGGGCTCCTGCCTACATCCCCTTGGTGCAGCACAGCAGCTCAGCCTTTGCCTGCTGTCATGCGTACTTTTATGAGTTACATTGTGCATTGCAGACTAAGTAGGATTTTGACTACAAGTAGATTTCCAACAGAACAATCCAATGACATCAGGTTAGAACTGAGTAACCCCCAATTTTCCAAGTTTTAGCATCAATTCAAAGTTCCGCAGTGTTTTATAAAATCAGGAAAAAAATTCATCATGACCAAAGCCATTCATACCTACCAAACTTTGGAATTTCACAATCTGACTTTGCTGTAGTAACTGTAACTCTGAGAGCACATACGTTATCCTGTTTTTCTCGTGTTTCTCCCCCTCCACAAGTTACTTTGGCAGTCACACCTTTGAAAACGATAATCCTCTCCGCAAATGCCACAAGGCAGCAGAAATAGGCTCAGTCACTATCAACTCGTTTTCCAGTCAAGATGCTCTCTACCACAGCAAACCATCCCCAGCAAGCAACTCCCAGTTAGAGCTGAAGCAATTCTGAACAGCCCCTAAATGCTCCCGATGCTGTGCTGGCGGTGCAATAGCATCACCACTTCCCTGACTTTGAGCTCGGAGCCGTTCGCACATCTGAGCAAAGTCCTTTTCTTTTTATACCGGACGAACAGAGAACAGCCCAGCGGGGCAGATCAGCTGTCAAGACCGAGGGCAGGCTGAGCACACGGCACCGCGTGTCCCGCTCTAGAGACGCAGCCCAAAGGTCTCAGCCAAAGCCGGCACCGAAGCCGCTCGCCCCGCTCCACCCCGGCCCCGCGCTGCCCACTCCCGCCGCCCCCCCCCCGGCGGCCCCACCTTGTAGCGCAGCGCCTGGTGGATGTCCGCCGCCAGCTGTCCGGTCCACCACTGCGCCTCCAGCTCCATGGGGGGCGGCGCGGCGCGGCCGGGGCCTGGGCGGAGGGGAGGAAGCGGCGCCGGCTGAGCGCGGGCGGGCGGGACGGGGCGGGCAGCGCCACGCTCGCCCCTTCCCCGCTCGCCCACAGTTAAGCGCGATCAGCTGCCGCTCTCGCCGCGGGGCCCCGAGGCCCCCCGGCCCAGCTGGCCGTCATGCGAGCCGGCGGCACAACTGAGGCTCGTTAAGCCCCGCCGCCGGGCGAGGAGCCCGATCGCGCCCCAACAAAGGGCCGGCGGCGCTCCCCCCTCCCCCACTCACCCTACGCAGCGGCCGCGGCAGGGCCTGGCGCGGGGCACCTGAGCGCGGCGCGGCGTGCCAAGGGCTCCCCTGCCATCACGCGGCGCCGCCCGCCTCACCCATTGTTAAAGGGCCGAGCGGGGCGGCGTGTGTACAAAGCCGGGCAGCGGCCGCCCCGCCGCCAATCGCTAGCTGCCTTACAGCGCGGCCCGCCCGCCGGCCGCCAATGGGAGCGCGGCACTCACAGGGGCGCGGCGAGCCCCGCTGTCCGCGGCCACGCGCGGGAAGCCTTTGGGCCCGCGGAGCTGCCGTAGCCACCTCTCGGTAAGGAGCCGGGGGAGGGGCGGAGCCGTTAAGCGGGCCCGCCTTGGGGCGGCCTCACTGGGAACGGGTCCTGGCAGCGGGGCGATCCGGGCGCTGAAGAGGGCGGTGTGCGCCTTTCCTGCGGGCCTGCCCACTGAGCGAACGCTCTGAGGGCGGTTGGGCGTTTCGATTCCGCAGCTGTGGGGTTCTTCGTCTTGTGACGTTGGGACGGCTGTATGAAGGAGCTCGGGGCAGCGCGGGGCTCTGCTGAGCCTCGAGCGTGAGGTGTTTGGGAGAGCCAAAAAGTACGCGAAGTTATGTCCCACTGGGTTAAATACCACTAATAAAAGTTATAAAACTTCATATTTACATGCAGATAGCAAACCTTCACCTGTTACCACTTTTTCTTGTTTTCCCTGGCTCAGCTGTTAGCTTTTCGTTGCCCCTTTTTGCTCGTGTCAGTGCTGCACCTCAGGCTGTTAGTGAAGTGGTGAAGGAAACGCACCTTCTGGGCTGCAGAAAGCTGTGACCCTCAAGTGTGGGACTGACCAAATCGAGGAGCAAGGTTTGCAGCTGGATGTGCCCTCACTTAATCCGTGCTCCTGCACCTGAGAGAACGGCCCTCTGCTCTGCTGGGAGTTGTTGCCCAAACGAGCTCCTGCACCTGCTCCAGAAGGGCTTTTTCCACCTGGTTTCCCCTGGTTGGCAACCTGCTCTAGAGGTCTTCCAAAATACTCGGTTCTTTATAGTGGTTTATGTCTTAAAGTTGTTGTCAAATATCCGAACAGACGCCTAACGAGGGTGTTCAACCTGGTACAACAATGCATGCAAAGTGATGGAGAATAAATGCTTTGGATGCAATTTATGTTGAGGGGGTAGATTTAAATTTATATTTCTGCCTGTGTTTAGACATGATTCTTCTCCTTAATTAAGAAAATAGAAACCAGCTGTTTGACAGAACCAGTTTAATGACTCTGTAACCAAGACTGAAGTAGCCTGTTCCTACACACATATATTTCTGACTTTGGTGGATAATCACATGGATTTCAGTAAAATTCCCTTTTTGTTCTGGGGAATGTTGCTGCTATTTGGAAATCTTTGTTTTTAAGGCACATTTTGGTATATCTTGTTCTGTTGTGTAGCATAGCTTCCTGAAGAAAAAGAAGTTTGAGAGGAAAACTCAATTGTTTGAAACGCAAGTGCATGCTCAAGCTGATTGTAATATTTGCAGAGCAAGTACGCAGTTTTTTTCAGGAATTATTGATTCCTGAAGAAAGGTAATATAAAATTTGTATTCCAACTCAGCCACAGGTTGCTAATGGGCTTGTGGTCATTGACAGAATCTTTAATCTTTGAAAATGTGTTGTCTGCTTGAGAAAGAGGAAACTAATAAATTCTGATGTGCTGAAACCTGCTGCAATGGGCCCAGATAGGGACGTTTTCACTCTTATGTCTTGGGAGAAATTGCTGTTATTAGCACTGCTGCTTTCCTTAGAGCTTCCTAAAGACTGTGTGGATTAGTCTGTTCCTGAAGTATTAGGTGGAAAAAAGGACAGATGCATGTTGGCTTCTTTCTCAGTTGTCTGACCTGTGTAGGAAATATTGTGATAAAGCTATGGGCTATTTTATTTATATGTCTTAATAGGAAAAACACTCACTTGTGGTTACTTGCTGTGCTACAGAGCTGAGCTGTGGAGCTATGCATTTCAGATCACTGTAATGCTTCATTATTTCAAATTTTGCTAGGCACAAATTACCACGTGTTTCAATTAAATTATTGATCTTGCAAACAGTTACATGTGTGTCTCCTTTTCATGCAGTCAGAAAATAGGTTTGGAAAGAGCCTCACAGTCTTACCTGAGGCCAGAATTGCTCTGGTCATGCGTTTTTCTGATCTCACAGACAGCAGTAAGGTGAGATCACAATCTCTATGAAGAGTGCATGACAGTGCTTCATTGTCCTTATGTTGGATAATTTATTAATGTTTGGTGCATGGGTCAAGCTTTTTACTGCCTATAACCCACAGACACTGAGAACTGATAATTGAAGACTGTATTGTCATGCCTCTCTTCCATTGTTTCTTTAGCTGCAGTAATCACTGATCATTTTATCTTTCCTTACAGGTCATAATTTCTAAACCTCCAATTGTTATTCTTCTCTGGGCACATCATGTTTGTTCATGTCCTTCATAAGTGCACGACCTAAGCTGAAATGCCGTGTAGTTAGCTCGAAGGTATTTCTCTTCTGAGGTGGCCTCTGTTCTTTTCCCAGAAAATCACCCCATTGAGAAAGCCAGAGCACTTCTGTACAGCCACATTGTTATCTGCAGGACCTACACATCTCTGCACCTTAACTTTTGGCTGGAAGAACTGAGAGTCTTCTTGGAGTTTCCAAATTTTATGAGGTAAGCGAATTTGCTGATTGCTTTCAGAGTCCAGAGCTGTCAAGGTTTAGAGAGTTGAAATGGAAATGGAAATAGTGGTAATGAAATGTGGAAAGGTTACTGCAGCTTCTTTGCATGTCTTATGACCTGTCCTAAAAGTGGACAGATCCTAAAAGTTTAACTGGTGCTGATTTTATCTGCTTTTGGTGTTCATTGCTCTAAGTATTCCTGCTTAGTCTTCCTATATGTAAGCCAGGACAGAAGCAGAACAAACTTAGCAATTTCTTAGAAAAAACAGAGGATATGAATGATTACTTTCATTAGGTATTCATCTGGTAGTAGGGCCTTTGTTGGTAAGAAACTGGAAGTGTGAAGTTTTCTACTTATGTGTAGTATATGGAATCTATGAGAACAGAAAACTGTAGATAAATGTTAGGAAACCATTTTAAAATGCGTATTCTCTTCCTGTGTATGGCCATGAATCACCTAAGAAAATACTTGTGTCTCAAGGGGAAAGTAGGATTGGATGTGAGAGCTCCTCTATGTGCTTTGAAAAAGTGCTAGGTAACAAGAAACAATGTTATTCTTGGAATTCACCAAGAAAAAAATATGACCTTGAATGATATCCAAAACAGGGTAGAACGGAACCTGTAAAATCTGGACTAAAATGCTTGTAACATTTTTGTGGAATCTTCTAATGGGAAAGCTACTGAAGTTGTACAATTTATGGACCTGTAATTCATAGATTATAGTCCCAACACAAATTCAGACATGATGGGTGAGCAGACTTGTCTTTATAGTTACTGGGAGGTTCTGTATGTCAAGAGCTGATACATATATTTCTGTTTAAGCTACTTTTCTCCCTACATTTTTGGTGGTTCTCATTGGCCTCTGGAAAAAGAAACATCTTTTAAAATACAAATTGAGAAATTGCAAGTAATTGCCAAGTACAGCAAATACTCTGATCTTGAGAACAGCAGTCTCTCTACATTAGAAACGTAATCCTCCTCCTAATATAGAAGGATCCATTTCTGTACACTGTATTTAATGTTAATGGTATATTAACCACAGAGTCTAACAGTTTCTAAAGACTGACACATTGTTTTAGTTTTGTGTCTATTGTCTTACATTTGTTTTGATATTTTCATCTGAATAAAAAATTGTAATGTAGAAACGTTGTTTCTGAAGGGCTGTGTTTCTGAAGTTACAGTATAAGAAAACCTCAGTTCTATGAAACTTACTTTAAAAAAAATATCTTTAAAAAGAAAACTGATCCAAGCCTAGTTCCTGTGTTTCTTAAGGCTGGGAAAGTTAGCTCTGTTTTCACTACTGTGTTTGTTGATCTTATTTTCAAACAAAGGCTGCATTTGATGACATTCATAGCAGTAAAATTTCAGAGCCATTTAATTAAAAGAATGAATCATTCTGAAGACAGGACTGTAGCTGCTCTCGGAGTTCTTTGCAACACGGTGGTAGATGAAATGTAGCACGTCGGTTAAGTTGTAACACTTTAGAAGCATTAATGTGGGGCTGTCTCCTACTGGAAGTAATCTGTGGCTGTGTTTGTAAATGCCTGTATTGAATGTTAAAGGTACTCTGTGGGTAAGATTTTAAAAGTTGTCTAGGGATTTGGATTCCCAGAACAGCTACTAAAATGTGATTACTGTGTTTGAACATAGCTGATAAATAACCTTTGGAGCTGCTGTCTCTAGTTATTAATACAACTATTAAGAGAAAAGGCACCCGAGAATTCTCTGGCTTGAATGATACATGCTTTTTCGAAGGATTTTGATAAGCAGTTTGGCTTTAAGTGTTTTCCCGTCCTCTGGGAAGCTATTGCAAAAAAAGTGTGTCTGTGAATGTTTTGTTTGGCGTTAAGATAAATATGTATGTTTTTGGTAATGTGTTGGGTGAAGAAAACACTCATGTAAGTGAAATAGTGCTGATGAATATAATTTGCATTGAGGGGTTCTTTTGTGTCTTTTTTTTTCTCCTGTAAGTCACACACACAGTTTAGGAAATAATAACTATAAAGACCCAAAGATTTTTTGCATCTCAAACATGTGTACATACTTCCTGCTTGGAAGGCTTCAGCTCATTTGACTGGAATTTAGGAAAGACTTGATCTTTACAGTGCTTCTTATTGAAGTGTTTGACTAGTTGGTTGTCAGTTCTGTATCCAGGCAGAAGAGGAAAACTTCACAGGTCCGGTTTCTTGCTAATGAAAACCTAGCTGCTACTACTGAAAGTAACCATCAATATATATATATATATATTTCTTTTTTCTAAAGGCTTTCTGAGTTTAAGTCTGTTCTGATTTTCATGTGCAGAGTGAGGCCGGAATACTCAGAGCTCTCTGCTTTCTTTTAGATGAGGGGAGCCTGCTATTAGGTCCTTCTGAATTGTCTCTTCTGTGGGCTGAAGAAGCTCAGATCATTCAGCCTCTCTTTAGAGGAAATGTTCTAGTTCCCAACAAGCTTGGTGGCCACCTGATGAATTTTTTGCAGTGAGTCCATGTTGTTATGCTGGAGGGAGGAAAGAGTCCCAAATCTGGATGCAGTCTTTTAGATGAGGTTCAGTAAGTAAGAAGTAGAGGGTAATATCACTTGGGTAATATCACTTTTTTCATCTTCTTGCTAAGGTCCTGTTAATGCAGGCTGGCTTGCTGTTAACCTCCCTGTTGTTCTGGCTCGTTTAGCACTTTCTTCCAGGATGCTTGCCAGGGTAAATCCTGCCAAATCCAATAGGGTTTGTGTGTGTTTCAAGTACTGTGCTGCTTGTTACATAGCTTAGAAGTGCTGAACCTTGTTCTGATGCCTTGGTACTGACGGGGCTGTAGTTTGGTGTTGTAGTAAGTAGAAACAGTGTACCCTAATCTGATCATAAATCACAATGGTATCTGGGACCTTGTTCTGTAGCAGTGATGAATATGGTAAATTCTTCTTCTGATATATCAGAGACTCTTTAGGTAATCTTTAGGTCTTACTATGATAAAATAATTCAAGACATATTTTACTGCCAGTCACACGGTCATGTATTGAGGGAGCAGATTGTCTGTATGTCTGGTTGATGTGTGGATATGCCATTCCCCAACTTTATGGACAGACACTTCACCATTGCTTCTTAATGTCATCTTATGCTATTCAGTGCATAATTATCTAGTCCCAAAACATCTAGCTGAGACATGTTTTTAAGAGACATGAGTCAGTACTCTGTATTTTCACTCATTGCACTGTGAGTCATTACACCCACTGTGTCATTAACAATGCAGAGACAGACCTCCATCTGGATAATGTTAAAAGCAGTGCGATGATTTGCTTAAAAAGTGTATTAACAATTCAGTTGAAAGAATATCTGAATAGAATGGTAAAATGAATCCTAACTGTTTGGTTTCACAGTACATTATCACTGGTACTCCTGTCTGAGACTGCGACCCTGTACTGTGTTAGGGTATTCATTTGGTACTGTTTGAAGAACACACTTGCAGACTTGCATAAAAGCTGTGCCCGTAACAGGTGCTTTATTGGTTGAAACTGATCAGCACTGACTGTTTCTTTAACACAGTAAGGAAGCAGACTGTATCAAGATAGGTTCTGCTCTAGAAAGAAATGGGCAATCTTCATCACCCTGTGTAAGAGATGAGTGGAATTGATGAGACATTGCCCATTCAGCACCATAAAAAACTTCAGACATGGATGAACAGAGCTGTCTATGACCTCTGTTTGGTGGATTTGCAATTTGATCTGGGTTGTATGCACAATTCCTTATAAACTCATGTGTTTACTTTCTTGCCCCATTCATAATTATGTTAAGAACAATGAAAAAAAAACATCTCTTCCTACTGTTGGCAAAATGGAGTCACATTCACTTACTGATTTGAGTGAGGAACGTTGTATATGAGAAAAACTATATCAACCTCAGTCTGAAGTTACAAATATCAGCATGGTAAATAAACACTTCTATGTCAGCATAATATTTTAAATCGGTTCAAGATTATCTTTGACAAGAAAACAAACTAGCACTTAATGTTTCTTCTCTGACTAATAGCCTCAGTCTTAAGAAATGTCAGCTTGTGTTTTTTTAAGTGGCAGTCCAACAATTTCAAAATAGGTGGAAAAAATCAATTTTTGTGTTTGAATCATTGCTTTGCTTAGCATGTGACTGCAATTAGAGCAAGTATTGCTTATAAGAAATAATTAGATGTTGCTGGGTGTTTTATATTTGCAAAAAAATCTGTTGCGCTTTGGAAGTTTTTCAGTGGTTCCTGCCTGTTTTGTTTTGTTTGTTTGTTTTTCCCCAAAACCACCAGAATTGAATTGAATTGAGTTCTGATCCCCTGTAAAAGTTTTGCAAACATGAATGATTCAATTTAAAGTTACCCCATTGCATGGGTTGATGTTTACATGCCCAAAGCTAGTTTTTTGTAATCAGGTGGTGCTGTAGTGGATCAAGAATTCTGGATTGCAGAGGGTGAATGCAAATACAGCATGGTAATGTTGGGGTGAATACATGGCTGTGTGTGACTGATTGAGGTGGGGAGCATATGTTGGAATGGAAGTGGAAAAGAGCAGAATAGGGATAGGAATGGCCAGGAACTGGTGAGTCCTCTGATGTCAGAGCAGTGCTCAGATACTGATGAGCTTGGGTGGGGTTGCCATGGAAAAGTTGGCTTTTGAAAGTGTATTATTGTTCATTGTTAGATCAACATGTTATGTTAGATCACAGGCTACGTATGGGAAAAAAGCATGTTGGGCTGTAGTGATTTTTCCAACCGTTTGATTATTTTTTTTTTTGTCTGACAATGTTTGTTAAAAATTTCAAATGAGAACTTCTGTGATTCTGATCTAGAAGTGGAAATAATGAATGAATAAAAAATAGATTTAAATTTATGAGATTATGAAGGCCAGAGGTATGATGCTACAGAGACAGAACCACACATACTGAAATCAGTTTGCATTATGGTTTATTGAAATATTAAATTCAACTTTTGGATTCCTACAAGTGGTTTAAAAATGTGTTAC